AATGGAATTGATAGAAACTGCAAAACACAGCTTTTACAGCATACCTCTAACAGTCATGCCCTTTGGGCTTAAGAATGCTGGAGCAACCTACCAACGGTTGATGGATCGAATGATCAAATCTCAGATCGGGCGAAATATCGAGGTATATGTGGACGATATCTTGGTGAAGAGTAAGTCCTCGACCTCACACCTAGACGACCTAAGGGAAACATTTCAAACCCTTAGGGCGTTCAGGATGAAGCTGAACCCAAGCAAGTGTGCCTTTGGAGTAAAGGCAGGTCGATTCCTGGGGTATATCATCACAGAGCGAGGAATCGAAGTAAACAGGGAGTAGGTGAAAGCCATACTCGACATGGCCCCACCAAGAAATATAAGAGATGTGCAAGTTCTGACGGGACGAATTGCGGGGCTAAGTAGGTTCATTGCTCGAGTCGCAGAAAAAAGCTATCCATTCTTCAAATTACTCAAGAAGAAGTCGGCCTTCTCGTGGAGTGACGAGGCACAAATGGCCTTCAAAAAATTGAAAAAATTCTTGGGCGAGCTACCTTTATTGACAAAACCCGAGCCAGCCGACAAGTTGGTGCTATATGTATATGTGGGTTCGGTATCATTAAGTTCGGTGTTATTGCGAGAAGAAGGAGGTGTCCAACAACCAATTTACTACACCAGTCGAGTTCTTCAGGGTGCCGATACGAGATATTCTGAGATCGAGAAAGCCACTTTGACACTGGTTGTAACGGCTAGAAAACTAAGGCCATATTTTATGAATCATGTGGTAGTAGTCAGGACGATCTTCCAGCTGGGTGAAACACTGGGCCGACCCACGGTATCGAGTCGACTCGTCAAGTGAGCAGTCGAGCTGAGCGAATATTCCATCAAGTACGAGCCGAGGCGAGCCATAAAGGCTCAAGCCCTGGCAGATTTCATCCAAGAAGGTACCAAAGGAGAAGAAAAGAAATAGGTCATGCACGCCGATGGGTCCTCGGCGTCTAGAGGGTCCAGTCTGGGAATCGTCCTCGTATCACCCGAGGGCGAGCAACTCGACTTTGCCATTAGAATGGAATTTAAGGCCTCAAATAACGAAGCAGAATACGAGGCGTTAATCAAAGGAATTCAACTCGTAATTGGCGGAGGAGCGACAGAAATTGTGACACATTCCGACTCACAATTAGTTGTTGGACAAGTGTTGGGAAGTTGCGAGATCAAGGAAGAACGGATGATGAAATATGTCGAAGAAATCCAAAGTCTTGAGCAGGGCCTGGAGAAGTTTGAGCTAACACAAATCCCTCGAGAAGAAAACAAACGAGCAGATTGGCTCGCGAGAATTGCGAGCTCAAATGATGGAAAGATGGAAAGTTCTATCACCACCATGCATTTGGAGAAAAGCGTGTTGGGTGAGACGATGGAAGTCGAGGAAAAGGACGTCTGGAGAAAATCGATTCACGAACTCCTACAGGGTCGAGTACCTATGGGAGATAAACAAGAGGCAGAAAGGGTTGCTCGATATCTAAGAAAATACTTTGAAGTCGACGGTGTCATGTTCAAAAAATCTTTGGTTGGGCCCCACTTGTGATGCGTTTCTGAAGACGATGGAAACCATGTCTTGAAAGAAATACATGAAGGATGTTGCGGAGCACATATAGGATCACGATCCTTGGCAGGCAAAGCCCTGCGAGCAGGGTATTATTGGCCCAAGATGCCAGCAATGGCGGAACAGCTGGTCCAGAAGTGTGAAAAATGTCAACGTCATGGGCAAATCACGCATATCCCCGCCGAATATATGACAACCATCAACACCCCAGTCCTCTTCGCGCAATGGGGAATCGACCTAGTAGGCCCATTTCCAACAGGAACTGGGCAGAGGAAGTTCTTAGTGGTCGCTGTCGACTATTTTAGCAAGTGGGTCGAAGCAGAACCATTGGCGAAAATCACAGAGGAGAAAATGATTCAGTTCTTGTTTAACAACATCTGCTGTCGATTTGGAGTTCCGAAAGTGCTAATTTCTGATAATGGGATTGAGTTGCAGGGGAGGCGAATTCAAGCGTGGTGCCTCGACATGGGGATAAAGCAAAGATTCGCTTCGATCGCACACCCCCAGGCCAATGGTCAAGTCGAGGTGACCAACCGAACCATTCTCCAACGGCTGAAGAAGAGGTTGGAGAAGGCATCAAGCGCTTGGATCGATGATTTGACAACAGTCCTGTGGGCTTATAGGACGACTCCAAGAAGTTCAACAGGCCAGTCGTCATTTTACATGGTTTACGGGATGGATGCACTCTTGCCTATCGAAGTCGGCTTGGGTTCTCATAGGTCGACATTCTACGAGGAGAAAAAGAATGAAGAAATAGTTGAAGAAGCCCTCGACATGATAGAAGAAGGACGAGAGGAATCTTGGGTGCGATCTGTGGAATATAAGCAAAAAATGCGCGCCGCCTTTGACAAAAAAGTCCGAACCAGACGATTTCAGGTGGGCGACCTCGTCCTAAAACGAGCAGACACTCTCAAACATGTCGGGAACCTCGAAGCTAACTGGGAAGGACCTTACACCATCACAAGGGTGCTCGAGAGGGGTGCGTATGAACTCGAAGATGGCAAAGGACGACAACTGCCGCGATCTTGGCACGTGATCCATCTCAAGCGTTTTTATGCTTAAGGCAATATTTTAAAACTCTTTTGTACTGAACAAAGCTTAATCAAATTCAGTAATGCAATGAATTTCGAGTTTATGCTTCAATTGTGTCTTTTACATTTTTATGTCGATCCCATTATGATTACTCGAAAAATTGATTTTTTCAAATCGGCTACAAAGCCGACCAACTCCAACGACTACGAAGTCGGTTAAACGCAACTACGAAGTTGTATTCTCGAGTGGAATCTTGACTAAGCTACGAAGCTTACGACTATGAAGTCGACCTAAAACAACTACAAAGTTGTACTCGAGTGGAATCTCGACTAAGCTACGAAGCTTACGACTACGAAGTCGACCTAAAACAACTACGAAGTTGTACTCGAGTGAAATCTTGACTATGCTACGAAGCTTACGACTACGAAGTCGACCAAAAACAACTACGAAGTTGTACTCGAGTGGAATCTCGACTAAGCTACGAAGCTTACGACTATGAAGTCGCTACACATACCTACGGAATTATACTCGAGGGGAACCTCGAATAGACTACAGAGCTAGCTACCGTAACGTCGACTTAAACCAGCTAAGACATTCCATTCATAATCCTCCATGGCAACTATAATACGAACAATCACATCCCTTGGAAAGTAGGAAGAGGTTATCAGCTATGAAGCTGTTAAAAATGTTGCTCGACTTCGACCAGCTCGCAAGCTGGGTTGGGAGAAGATAAGTTGAAAAACATTATTTATCAGCTACGAAGCTGTTAAAAATATTGCTCGACTTCGACCAGTTCGCAAGCCGGGTTGGGAGAAGACGAGTTGAAAAAACTTTGTTTATCAGCTACGAAGCTGTTAAAAATGTTGCCCGACTTCAACCAGCTCGCAAGCCGGGTTGGAGAAGACGAGTTGGAAAAACTTTGTTTATCAGCTACGAAGCTGTTAAAAATGTTGCTCGACTTCGACCAGCTCGCAAGCCGGGCTGGGAGAAGACGAGTTGAAATAACTTTGTTTATCAGCTACGAAGCTGTTAAAAATGTTGCGAGACTTCAACCAGCTCGCAAGCCGGGTTAGGAGAAGACGAGTTGAAAAAACTTTGTTTATCAGCTACGAAACTGTTAAAAATGTTGCTTGACTTCGACCAGCTCGCAAGCTGGGTTGGGAGAAGACGAGTTGGAAAAACTTTGTTTATCAGCTACGAAGCTGTTAAAAATGTTGCTTGACTTCGACCAGCTCGCAAGCCGGGTTGGGAGAAGACGAGTTGGAAAAACTTTGTTTATCTGCTACGAAGCTGTTAAAAATGTTGCTCGACTTCGACCAGCTCGCAAGCCGGGTTGGGAGGAGACATACAAGGCAAGTTGAGAAACTTAAAAAGAAATCATTCGAGCATAATCAACCACGAGAATCGACAATAAACATAAACGACGAGCCAAAAAAGATAGAATTATATTAAACAAATAGTTCATTACATCCGTAGCCGTCTCAACCCTTACAATTTTGAAAACGGGTTGAGTACGACGAAAAGAAAAGGAAAGTGCATTGCAAAAACAACTTGCCCCGCGGCCATTACAACTCCAGTCAAAAACAAATTATTACAAGCGACAAAATAAAGTTCAATCTTTCAAAGTCTCAACTGTCGACTTCTCACCAGCATCGTCACCAACATCAGGAAGAGGCTCTGTCCCTTCGCCCTCCTCGGCGTCAACAATCGAGGTCTTCTCACCCTCAGCAACCTCATCTCTGTTACCACCAGCTAACAGCTCCACCGCCCTTCCTCGGCCTTAGCCTCCTCGCCTAGTGATTCCTTGTGGTCAGCTCCACTTGCCTCGACCAATTCGACTGGACCAGACAAAGAGGTAGGAGAAACCTCGAGCTGGTCAACCAACCTAGCCTTGCGGATGGCCCGGGCCTCGAGTCCTGACCACCAAGGGTAGTCATCCAGAAGTGAGGAATCACCATGGTAGCCGTTATGGAGAGGAAGGGACTTTTTCGGCGCTTGGTGGTTGACTTTTTCCTCGAGAGGAATGCCCTTCACCGTCGACTCCCACGTGTTAAACGTGAAGTGAAAGTACTGGAGAGTTGTGGGGCACAACTTCTCGAGGAAGTTGGGAGAGTTGCAAAACGCGGCGACAACCTCCTTCCTGTAAGCGTCAAGAAAAACTGAGCCCATCGGCGATTTGAGGAAAGACTTGCGCCCTTCCTCTT